CCATTTTATTTATATGTGCTTTGATATCGCATGTTGTTATCAATTTAAATGGGCTCCCATTTTTGCAGCATCTTTTGCCAGTAGGTCTACTTCCTTGTTGTATTTATTTATATCGTGTGCTTTGACCCATATGAAGTGAACTTCTACTTCGCTTTTCCTCAATTCGGCAAGTACATCTAGTATTTCCTCTATCAGTGGGTTTTCGTCAGTTTTAGCCTGTTCTAAAGCCGTTAGTACTAGGGTGTCTGATACGATGGCTGCGTCGTCGTGTGTTAGATTTTCTGCGGCTAGAACTTAAGAGCTTGTAGTATGGCAATGCTCTCTGCCGAATAGATGGTGATTATTTCCGGAAGCTTCCATTTATGGGATACTGTGCCTTCTGTTGTCATTATTGCTGCGCCCGTTCCTTTGTCTGACTTTGACCCATCTGTGTACACAACTTTGGTAACGCTGCAGTTGCCTGTCTCGTAGCAGCATTTAATCACGTCTGGCTTTCCTGTTAGGTGATTTGGGTTTAATATCACACTCGGCCTAGTCACAGGTTTCCAACGCAGGTTCGGTGTTGTTTTGCATTGTTGAGCCGATGGATGAGGCCAAGACCGTATGCCGCTGGTAGTGATCCGTGACCCAGAGAGCCACTGGCTTAGGTCCGGGGCCGTGAGTCCGTTGAATCTGCAGCAGTTGAAGGGACTCTGGTGCAGCAGGTAGCCGAGTACAGCAGTTGACCAGTAGCCAAAGCGGCTGTGTTGAGAAGGCAAGTTCGAAGTGCTGATTATTAAAAATTCGTCGGGGAGACGTGTCTCGAGATGCGAAGAGAGAACTCGAAGGAATTTTCCCTCCTTTTTGCCATTTTTCAATTAGAAAGGTAGGTTGAGATGGGAAGTTGGTGTCCGAATGGATCGAAGTCACAATAGCCTCAAGTGGTAGAGCAGCGACGTATTTAGCCGAAGGTCGTAGGTTCGAATACCGTCCGGGACTAGCTTTTTTTTCCAACCAATACCTTACATAAAGATTAATTAATTGAAAGAAATTTTTATTAAATTTTAGTTACTCTGTTGATGACCTCAGCTCTTTGTCCGTCCATAAACCTCCCACTTTAACTACTTTTCCCACAAAACGAATGTTCTCGTGGCGAACCATCGAAACATTAATGCTATGTTATTTAAATGTGAAAACTTATCAAGGAAGTGAAATTTATAAATATCCCCTTCTCTGCTGCTGGTGTGTTGGCCGGGGGTTTCATTTGGCCCAAGGACGGCGAACCGGCTTTGATGTATGCCGAGAAGAGGGGCTTAGGAAAAGGCCAGCAAAAGCCGAGATAATGCAAAGTTTCCGTTTAAAGGAAATCGTTCCCTTTGAGGATCTTCACAGGAGATATATTTCAATTAAGTTCCGCATTCCAAGCTCAAGGAATTTTCCAGGAACTGCCCCTGGTTGAATACATACCAAAACAATTTCACTTGTGTTACGAATTAGTCTTAAACACTCTTAAATAAGTTCAAAATGCTTACCAACATCCAATCACTTGTGACTTTTTTCACATATTTTAAAAAAAATAATTTATAAATACGACAGGTTTAAATTTGAATTTTGGACTTCTCTAGTTTCTATACAGTGTCACTGTTAATGAGAAATAAATAACCAATTAATAGAATGTAGCACAAGAGAGAATAAACATTAATAATAAATTTGTATTTAGGAATGATTAGAAGATTTTTACGAGTATATCATATAATTGTGATTTTAAACGAAGAGATGATGGATGACTTCTGACGTAGGTTGATGACCGCTTCTTGCAGGTTGAAGTTGTACCTTTTGGTATTTCAGTATAAATAAACTATTTTAAGGAATCGATATTAAAATATTTATGGATCTGACCAATTCTAGTACACTTTCGTGCGTGATATGCTTATGTCAACTACAATCAAGTTACAAGTTAAAGAACTAAGTGTAGACGTAAAATGGCACTGAGGATTGTGAAAAGTTTCAGAACCATTTCATTTGAAGCTGTATACATTCTGGCTGACATTCTGCCCATTGACGTTTTCCTTCAAGAAATCATCCATCAAAATCAAATTTTGAAGGGAACTACTACACATATAGGACCCAACTATGAAGTTGATTACTGCTTACCAGTAGATAAATGGCCGCACCCGGCGACGTTCCCTGAAATAAATGAAACATCTGATCTTGATATTCAGATTTACACAGACGGAAGCAAAACGAACAGCTAGGTCGGTTGCGCAGTTGTAATTTTCAAGATTCAATCTGAATTCATGAGGAAAAACATAAAATGGAAAGTGCTCCAACAATCAAGCCGAACTTCTGGCTATTCTCGAAGCTTTAACGTGGCTAGAGGGATACAGTCCAAACCCTGATAAAAAACAGCAACATTGGACAGATAACCAAGATTCCCTGGTCTCGATTCAGGACTGTCAAAACCATTCGCTTCTTGTTGAAGAAATCAGGCATTTGACTTCCCACCTAGAAAATACCGACGGTATAAGAATCAAGTGGATTAAAGCTGACTGTGGATTCACTGGAAACGAAGCAGCTGACACATTAGCCAAGGAGGCAGCCAACAGCAAGGACGAAATTAGCTTTTACCGTGTGCCGATTTGCTGAATACACTTCAAGACGAGACAAGAAAGTAGGATAGATCGGAAAAACAATGGCCGGCGACAACAAAAGCGCTTCACATGGGAAGGTTTTCCCAACGATAACTGCCCGAGCAAACTCAACATTTAAGCACCATTATAAGTTGACCCAAGTACTTACTGGGCACGGGAAAAGCCGAGCATACCTTCATCGGTTCAAGATTATAGAGGACACAAAATGTCATTACAGTAATCCAGAGGAACAGACATGGGATCACATACTATTCTACTGTGCTTTATTTGATAAGCCCAGATCAGTGTTTGAGCGGTATGACAACGGGAGGCGTCTGGCTACCAACGAGGGATACGCTTATGAACGTTTACAGTGAACACTTTCTAAAGTTCCTCGACTCTATAGAATTTAATTTTCTGTGATATACCTGTGACGCTAAGTTAAGACAAAATTAGAATAACATTATTATTGCAATCTACACACAAGCGCCATATATTATAAATAAAAATGTAATTATTTGATATCTTACAAGCACACTTGTTATAAGCATTTAATATAAAAAGGGAGCGTGCAATAAATAAATAAAAATCCGCACACATCTTGGTCACCGCTTGTTGTTACACGTTATCCAATAGTGTTATCACTGCTTCAACAACTCGCCTTTCACGCTACAGCCAATGAGCGCTCTGTATATAAGAAGAAATTTAACCTGCTTATTTCAGGCGAGTCGACGAAGTTTCAGCTCTCACTAATGGTTCCGTCACCACTAGCTACAGTAACAAGGGTTATTGCAGCATCTTATCTCGCACTCTCAACAGCTTTCGTGGCTGTCTGCTGCTCGAGTCTCTTCACTCACTGCCGAGTTTACTGACTCTCGCTGTATCCACCATCGGCGACCATAACAACCACCCTTCTCAGGGGTCACCAAAAACTCCGGTCACTAAGCATCTGAATTGTAATACAGATTGACTTGTGTAGATGACACAGCATTTGGACTATATCGTGCAGTTCTGCAAAGTCTTTTGTTGATATGAGCTCTCTTTCAATCAAATTCTACCAAAAAAATCACAGCATCATCCTTTTTCGTCTTTTAAGATGATAATGGCCGCAATTGTTGATCTTAGGTTTACCAGCGAAATTCTCTGATCTTTCAGATATTGACTGAAAAATCCCGTGATGATTCTAGTCGGTTTCTGACGTAGGCAAATAGCGCCATTGAATGTAAAATTTCCTCCTGTCACTTTCGCACTTAGCTAGTCACTTTGCTACGATTACAGACTGTTGACATACCACGATACATGGGACTGTTCATTAATAAAATAATGACGTGGATCTTACACACTCGCTTGATGAACCGCCGTCACAAACTCTTACTCCTTGACCTCAAATCATTTACACAACTCTCATGCGTCCCATATGGACTTGGAGTGGAAGTTTAGAGCTCAACCAAACATTCCAATTCATCCCGTATCTAGTCTCTCCAATCCAAAATCCTAAGAAAAATCCTTAACGCTCCTTTCTACGTCACCAATAAAACTATCCACGCTGACCTCCATAACTCAATCCTTCTAGCCCTTATAACAACATTTTATTAGAAATTTCACAATTCTGTACACCCAAACCTCTCCGTCCAACAACTTTCCACTCTAACTATACCTGGAAGTCCTCAACGTCGGCTGAAGAGGCAATAGCCTAGGGATTTGCTTCAATGGTATGTGTATGTAATATGTATGGGCGCGCGGTGTGAGGTGTGTTACCAGTGGGTAGCCTCTCCCATCATATTTTTTTTCATATTCATGAATGACCAAATGTATTGTAACTAAAGTTATAGGTGTAAATAATAATAGCAATAATAAAAAACCCTCCTTTAGTCTGAGGGTGATGAATCTGTATTTTGATCCTTTTCGATCATCTTGGTTTTCCTATCCACGCTGGATGTCTGTCTGATTCAATGAAGATGGCGAAACGCCGAAACACGTCTGACAAAGCAATCCAACAATCATCCAAGATGATCAGTAAGGATAAAATTACAGATGATCTAGAAATTCAAAATTAGGAGGGAAACACTATATGGTGCACTGGTTGATTTTTGCCATCTAGGCACTATTGTTTTTTTAATACAATGCCCTTTCGATTAAAAAAGGTTTTGTTTATTGTAGTGGGATTTTGGCTAAAGCTTACAATTTTAAGCCCAACGTTCATAGTATTCTCTTAACTGCAATGATATGTAGACCTAAACCAAACCAAATATGGTTGGTCCATCCATGGTGGTCCAAATATAACATATTAAATAATTGTATAAACAGTAAATTTATTGCAGCAAATAAAAGTGACCAATAAAAATCAATAATTTGGAAAGGTTCAATTCAGTATGCTCGGGTAATTTAAGCTCGGAATTTTTGTACTTTAAAAATAAGCCTGGAGAAGCGGGTAATTTCAAAGAATAAAAATGAACTTCTTAATTGTTAATAATTTTAGTACTGGCCAGATAGTTAATTTAGTTGACCTTTGAAGTTTTTCTTTATGATAAAGAGTGCAAGCATCTGCGTTTAGATCGAAACTGGCGTGATCATCTGTACCAAAATCGAGATGGCATTGTTGTAGTTGTTTCAGGACGTCGATCGACACGTGGGATCGTTTAATTCATTAAAAAGAACCCGAAAGAGTTCTTTGTTACTTAGCAGTTATGAGTTTATTAAAGAACTTAATCAACAAGAGTCTTCCGATGGGGCAGACCTGTCCTAACTTGTGCCAAAAAAGAACGTTTATCAGCGGTCCGCCGACCCATTGTGTCTCCACTGGGGTAGGTCATTTGTTTACTAAGGAATATTAAATACAGATATGCCTAGATATTTACGTTTGATTCTTCTAATTTAGTTCTATGACTAGGTTTATAACGAAAGTGTTTTTGAATTTAAAGTTGTTTTTTTTTTACAGGAGAAATGTGTACATTTCACAACGATAGGCGTGTCCATGCTTGTAGTACCGCTGTGGATTCTAGCTCACATACGTACCTACAGAGAGATGAAAAAGTGATCATAATTTTCTTATTTGGAATATCGTCATTGTATTTTGAATTTTGATTAATAAAGAATGACTTGTTAAAATTATTACGTTTGGGTTTTTTATTACGCCTACAGATTCACGATTTCATTTCAAACTTTTCACAACCAGCATTGGCTATCGGCCTACGAACCCAGAAAAGATAATTGACATCATATTAAAGTTAATATTTTCTTTCTAAATGGACAATTCCGTGACTGTTTTTAATAAGAAATAGTTATAATGAAGTACGCACACACACGTAAACCTGCATATGGGGAAACTGAAGTTTGGAAATGTTTTTATATAGGTAGGAAAAGATATGAATGCTAATTTTAAATTTCCACCGTTATGGAATGTCTTTCCTGGATGAATAAATATCGGGAAAGCTTTTGAAGTAGTCTACCCAGAGCATTAAAGGCCCTCGAAGGCAACAAGTATCCCTATACATGGCCCATCTTTCCTTGTCCATCATGACCTGTGAGAAGGTTAACTTTAATAACAATGTTTTATAAATTCCAATTGTTAAATGTTATTTTATGAAAAGGGCTCAAAATTGACCATAACCTTTCAAGATGCCCCCACCCGGTATAGACCACTCTGTACGGACAGTCCCACGACGATTTAGAGGGAATGGATTGGTTTTTCAAATCGGGCAAAATAAACAGAGCTTCTTTTCAGCCGAACCAACTCCCGGGATTTGTTTGTCTTGGGAGGGGGGAAGTATAAATCATTCTCGCAGAAAAATCTGGGCAAGGGAAAACTCTTTAAACGCGATTTGTTTCCGTTTACTTCCAACGTCGAATCCTATCCTAGATGCTCTTTTACAAAGGGTTTACACCAGTTTTTTCCCCTTCCTGGCTACAACATTTGAACAGGAATTTTGAATTTCAAAATGTAGAACGGTAACAACTTTTTTGAAGTTAGGGTTTCTTTAGCGTTTATTTAGATCAGGCTTGTAAATTAAGTATAAAAGTTTCATGGCCTCAAGAAAGTCAAGCAAAAGACTTAAGTATCCCCTCAGATATAAAACTATAAGCTAATTTTAGCTTATTAAAGTAGTAAGGTTTAGGAAAAAATTGACACACGACTGAAAAGATTTAAGGAAGAAAAATTTATGTCGACAATTCGTAAATCGCTCAACCTTTTCCCGTATTTCTTATCTTTCTTTCTCTCTTCTGCACTTAAACTTTCTTCCGATCTAATAGGTTTTCTTTAATAAAATATAGAATTCTTCTTGGTGGAATTGTGTCGAGGTCTTCATTTCTCAGGAATGACTTTCCTAGGTGCCGTAGCCTTTTTGTAGCTATTGCAGGGCTTCTATATTTTCAACATCTGTTAATGGTCCCATTTTTAACTCTTTCCATTATGTTTTTGCATTTAATTTCAACGGAGTAGTTTCTATCCTGTTTGCGATCCAAAAATTGAACAATTATATCGAAATTATTTAATTAAAATAATTATTTTATACTTAAAAACTTAAGTCAGTCTTCGTAATCGAATTTGACCCCATTCTCGGGGTTAAAATTTCACGTTGTTTACCTTTCATGAACCGAAAAAATTTGTTTCTTCCTTCCAATTAGGAGTTTTCAAATATGTTTTTAACCTATTTGAATATTAATTATTAAACAATCAGTTATTAAAAAACACATTATTGTTTTAATCTAGAAGCCAACTTTAAATATTCCGTAAGTTCACTATCATACTTCATTAATTCTAGATGAAGATTCTCAATGAATTCACTAGTTTTCGTGGTCCGCTTGACCAATTAATATCATTCAATTAAGGTTTTTAGTTGACATAAAAAAGTCAGTGTCACGAGCGGGATTCGAACCCACGACCTTCGGCTTGATACGCCGCTACTCGAAGTCACGATATAGCTCAAGTGGTAGAGTAGCGGCGTATCAAGCCGAAGGTCGTGGGTTCGAATCCCGCTCGTGACAATGACTTTTTTATCTCAACTAAAAACCTTAATTAATTGAAATCTCAATGAAGATTTTTCTTTGTTCTAGACCATACTTCTAGATCGTTTCTATAATATATCTTTACAATTAATAATTACATCTTTCAATTAATAATTCTATTCTTTTTACGTAAGGTAAAAAGTCAGTGACACGAGCGGGATTCGAACCCACGACTTTCAGCTAAATACGACGCTGCTCTACCACTTGAGCAATACACACGATACACACGGAATACACTTCGATCCAGTCGTACACCAACTTCCCATCTCAACCTACCTTTCGAATTGAAAAATGGTAAAAAGGAGGGAAAATCGAAAGGTTGGGTTAAGATGGGAAGTTGGTATCCGAGTGGATATAAGTCACGATAGCTCATGTGGTAGAGCAGCGGCGTATTTAGCGGAAGGTCGTCGGTTCGAATCCCGCTCCTGACACTAGCTTTTTTATTCCAACCAATACCTTACATAAAGATTAATTAATTTCGATTTATGAGATTTGAATCATTAAAAAGAATCATTAATCCTGAAGAAAAACTTCAATACTACTTGTCTTTTATAATTATCTCACTAATTTTAAGGTTCCGGGCTTAATTTCCGCAGAGCTCGATTTAGGAGCCTCGAATTAAAAAAAAAAAAAAACATTAATCCGCCGAAAAACGTTAAAATTTAATATTATTTTAAAAATAATTATCTAGCTAATTTTTAGGTTCCGAGCTTAATTTAGGCAGTGTTTTATTGGGTTGTCCGGAAAATAATGCAGGATTTTGGTATTAAACAAAAAAAAAGAAACTAGTTACTTTAAAGCAATGTTCTTTAATCAAAATAATTTCCCATACTCTCAATACATTTCTCCCAACGTGTTGGTAACTTATTAATTCCGTCTGAGTAGAATTCAGAATTTTTAGAATTGATAAAGTCAATAAATGCATTTTCCAGTTCCGTTTGATTTTTGAATATTATGTGTTGTAAGTAGTGGTCCAGGTGTCTAAAAAAATGGTAGTCAGTAGGCGAGAGGTCCGGAGAGTAGGGTGGGTGAGGCAAAGTTTCATAGCCAAGCTCCAATAATTTTTGTGACGTTACACGTGACACATGTGGTCGAGCGTTGTCATGCAACAAAATGAGCCCTTTCCGATTGACCAAAGAGGGCTTCATTACTGCCAATTTCTGATGCATGGTATTAATTTGGTTACAGTATGATTCAGCATTGATGGTTTCGCCAGGATTTAAGAAGCTGTAGTGTATTAAACCAAATGAAGCCCACCATACCGTAACCATTACCTTTTTTTGATGAGTTGGGGGCTTTGGAAAATGTATTGGAGCTTCTCCTTTGTCGAGCCACTGTCCAGAACGTCTAGTGTTATCGTAGAGAATCCACTTTTCGTCACATGTAACAATTCTGGCCAGAAATGGGTCATTTTTGTTTCGACAAAGAAGTGATGCACAAACATCAAAGCGCTGATTTTTTTGGCGATCGTTTAATGAGTGTGGAACCCAATTTTCGAGTTTTTTCACTTTTCCAATCGCCTTGAGGTGGTCAGCGACGGTCGTTTTACTGACTTTGAGTTGCTCTGCAAGTTCTCGAACAGTTGTTTTGGGGTTTTCTTCCACCACTGATCGCAGAACATCATCATTAAGAGAGGAAGGCCTTCCACGACCTTCTTCATCTTCAAGGCTGAAATCTCCCTCCCGAAATTTTTTAAACCACCTTTGCACAGTGCACTCATTAACACAACCCTCGCCCCAGACTTGGTTAATGTTTCTAGCCGTTTGGGCTCCGCTTCGGCCGAGTTTAAACTCGTAAAAGAAAATCGTACGAAATTCTCGCTTTGACATTATAAGGATGACTGAATTATTTCCAAGTAGCGGAATGCTACAGAGGTAAACAAACAATATCATTTGGAAGAGGATTAATAAGTGTTGACATTCATACAAATGAGTAATCCTGTAAACGTAAACAGAATATTTTATATAGATTTTTTTTAATGAAAACTTAAAATCCTGCATTATTTTCCGGACAACCCGATACTTAAGTGACTCGAATCGATCGAATATATGTTCTTACATTCTAATGAAAAATAAATCATTATTTTTCGTTTTATGAACATGTCTTGTTTAATGACTTAAGTGGCATTTTCAATTAGGCCGGAAGGATGTTGGTTTAACGTGTTTTACATGGTGTCTGCAAATCAGTGCTGACAAAGTTGTTGCTGGCAATAAATCATCCTACAAACATAGTTGAAACAGAATCTCATGTGTAAAAGCCACTATATTGAATATGACAATTGAGTCTAATTTGACAATGTGACAGGTTTTTAAGACGTTTTGTAAACAGACTTTGACATAATTTTGTCAACCATTAAGAAAATAATTGCATGTTTGATCTGAACGGAGGTACAGGCATTTACATTGTAAAATATATTCAGAACGTCTCTCTTTTTCTTCCGCCCGATCAAAAAATGTGTCCTTGCCTTTCTTGAGTCCATTAGTACAAAGTCGAGGGAATTTACACGGGGCTTCTAATGTAGCCGTCGGGCGTAAAGTGCTTTAACCAGTCATTATGCGACGACCCTCGCCGTTACCATCCGAAAATAGGTGGCTTCTTCTGCAAACCTGGAGAAGGCGGCGGAGGTGTTTACTCTCTGAAATTAGTCCGGAATTAATTTCAGATAAAAAGGCCGGAAGCACAACAGGATCCTAAAGGTGAAGTCCGTTTTCCTATCAACTCAAATCGTTTACGTAAAACAAAGAGGATAAATTAAAAATAAATAACATTTATGATGATCACCTGCAAATTTTATAAATTGCAATCAGTATTAAAAGAAATTGTTTGTTTTCAAACATCATATTATTGAGGAAATCATCTGTTCGATCTGTTAACAGGTCGCTACTAAAAAATTATATAAATGTTTTCACGACATTTTAAGGGAAATAAACTCCTTAGGAGGGATTAATGATTTGTCTTTATCTAACTTTTTGTTAAACAAGATTAAGGATAAGGCCACTTGGAACGAAAATACTTAATCCTTCATCGACCTTTCTAGGAATAAAGAGCTTTAAGGACTTTAAAACTGTAATAAATTAATAATTTAAAAGAACAACTGGAGT